GAAAATTCCAAGAGTTAGCACCACCTTTATCAAGATTAACCAATGTTCCGTGAACAGAATGGAAGATATCGTAGTGGTAAGTGTGCGCTTTGTCAGGCTGTTCAATGCAGGTTCGATTCTTCCCACCTCAAAACACGTTTGCATTTTCTTAAGATTATTTTGTGTGTCAATGCATGTTATTCATGAATGAATGACGCATTTGCAATTAAATGACGATTTTACAAAATTTTAAAATTGAGCGTATTCACTTTCCATAAAATCTATTCTCCTTAAGTATTGTTTGATAACTTATTATCAAGCAAAGGGTACACTTTTATGAACATACACGATATGTAATTATAGAGTGTGAAGCATAGATGCAAATGCATTTCATTCGCTGTGCTCATTTAGCAATGCAGCCATTACTTTCGAGTCTACCATCAAGCTGGGTGAAAAAGAAAAGTGACTAGGGGACACGAGCCAAGATGTTCTTCTACAAAGCCAGCCGCATTACACGAGTAAGAGTGGGAATTTTTGAAAAGGGGAGAGCAAACTGAGAAGTGAGCGAATAGGACTTGAGTTTGGAATCTCTATAGTGTAATAGAAAATCAGTCTCGGGGGCATGTACATATGAGATGAAACGCTTATACATAGCCTTAAAGGTAGGCGACGTTCACAATTCAAAATTTTGTTTAAAGTCACCATTTAACCAAAAATGCGTCATTCATTCATGAATAACATGCACTGACGCATAAAAACATTCTTAAGAAAATGCAAAAGTGTTTTGAGATGGGAGGAATCAAACCTGCATCAAACAGTCTGACAAATCGCACCTACCACTACGATATCTTTCACTCTGTTCACGGTACATTGGTTAACCTTGATAGAGGTGGCTAACGCTTGGAATTTTCAAACGCTCATTATTTTTTCCAGAGAAACGCTTCGCAGATATGGAAGGCAGATTTGGAATGCGTCTGAAACTGCTTCTACTAGTATCCATCTCTTCTTGAATCGTCACTTCGACTAAGTATCCTTCCCTTGTTAGATGGCAGGGTATATCGGAGATCCTGCTGTTCCATTGTTCCCGTCCGGTCCACATTTGCCTTGTTCTCGTGGTGGTCCGCGTGGTCTTGGTGGACCGTTTACCCTGCATGCCCAGGATGTACTGCGTTCTTCTTCAGGCGAGCCTTGCGGACCAGCACCTCCAGCCATACCCGCGATCCTTCGTCTCCCACTTT